AACACTTGAAACATGCATCTGAAACACTTGCAAAAACACCTGAAAAACATTGTAAAACATACGCAACATCCAGATAAAACACTTGTAACATAGGTGTGAAACATATGCAAAATCCAAATAAAGACAATTGCAACATACGTCTAAAAACATAGATGAAATATTTGGGAATATAAGCTTGCAACATACATGTACATCCATTGTAACATATGCAACATCCACATGAAATACCTGCAACATATCTATGAAACATCTGAAACACTTGGAATATATGCTTGCAACATGCGATTTCACCCTTCTTCCGTACAACGTAGTGCAGAGCAGGGGACAACCGGTTCTGGCTAGCCGGGAGCCGAGGATGGTGGCGTGGCCTGGCAGCGGCCAATTGCGCCTGCGCCTGGCCTGGGCCTAGCTAGCAACCTCCCCCTCTTCTAGTTGTGGTGAAGGACAGAGCACGACAAGACACGGTAGGGGATAGAAGAGCCTCTATAGTCGCCGAGCATGCACATGGAGCTTGGAGGCGGAAAGCGAGGTGTCGGCGACCAGGTCCGACAATAGTTGCAGTTGGTGGGGCGGCTGGTAGCGTACCTCACGCGGAGGATTCCTCCTCTCTGCGGGGGATGGCGGTGGCGGTGGGCCACAGTGGGCTGCGGCGCGGGATGGAGGCGGCGGCGCGGTGGATTGAGACGGCCGCGCGGCGCCGTGAAGCCGCAACGGACGAGCGCGGAGTGGGGGAGACGAGCTTCTATAGGAAGATTTGATTTTTTGTTTCTCGGGTCTGGATGGACGGACACCCGTGGCCAAGTATTATCGTTCCATATATGAATCTGATCCCACGGTTGATCTGAACTGCCAGTTTGTGGCGTCTGGCTCTGTTGCTTGGTGAACTGGTTGTAGTTTGGTCCAGAGCCGCACAAACTGCCTAAGTTCTGCATCTGTTTGATTGCCCATTTTCAGAGATTGAACAAGCATGGAGTATTTGCAATGAGCAAGTGGGTGGACAGTTTCTTGCTCTCTACGATAGAGGAGGCAAACAACGTTGTTGGGCCAACCTCTCGTACGGAGCCTATCCGCCGTCCTATTTTGGATGGCGAGCCATCCAACAAATTTGCATTTAGGTGGATGACAGTGCATCTTGTAAATATCTGTTTTGAATATTTGTTCTTAAGCCATTAGCTTCCCCCAAAATGTTGTAGAGTTTGCACAAAGTATATGAAGCATGGTTGGCAATGACGAAGTTTATGGTCATTTCAGGATCGGAATTTCTACCATGCGAACGTCGTGCTCTAGCGCGACGGCATGACCCTGCTCCCACTGCGCTCGCGCCTCACTAGAGACGAAGATGACGACAACGACGGCTTGGGTTCCGCCATCGGCCGTTTAGGGGATCTTTCCCTGTGGGCTTAGAAGGTTTTTTTGGGGGGGGGTGCATCACGGCGGTGGAGGCGGGCGAGACGGCGGGGGTGTCGCAGCGGAGGTCGTCGGCAACCTGTCCTGGGATTAGTGGGGGCGGGGGCAGGGGCGATGGCGAGAAAGAGGACGGCAGAGGCATCACGACGGAGGTTAGGGGAGGGCTGGGTCGAGGGGGGGGGCGAGAAAGAGGATGGAGGAGGATAGGGGAGGGCGGGGTCGAGGAGCGGGGGCGGGAGGTTGGTGGCGGGGCGAGGTGGCAGGAGCCGCTAGCTGCGGGTGGTGGAAGCCGGGGCAGGGGTGGAGGCGAGGACAGCGTCGGTGAGGAGGAAGACAATAGGAGGGGGCGTCGCGCAGAGGAGGAAGACGGGTCGCACGTTATCTGCCTCGCTTTCAGGATGGTTCCCACCAGGCTTGCTGCTAGCTAGTTACGTTTCACTGACATATATTTTTCCTGCAAAACGTGCTGCGCCAAGTCTTGCCCTTCCATGTGCGGCGTGCCATCATCCTTTCTTGTGAAGATTGATTTTTCTGCTAAAAATAAAAATCCGATAACATCATTTTCACTGTCACATTCTGAATTAATGTATAGTCTTGTAGTGGCGCTGTTCTTCCGTCCCCCACCCCCCTTTATACCCACTGAAAATTGGGTTTTATTCTTATTACATACCTGCATTGCTCCATTTCCATTTGTTTTTGTGGCTTGGAATATTCCTTTACCCTTTTTCTGAGATGAGGATTGGATCTTTGAGCGAGGGAGATATTTCTCGTCGTTACCTGCATGGCAGTATGGCGGCACTGGCTAGCTCATTCCTGCTGTATGCTCTCCTTCACACCCATCTCCAGTAATCCAGTTACCTGTAGATTGTAGTACGTGCTATAATCTATTCTCCTCTTCTCCATGGTTTTTTGGCTGCCTCTGAATTCTTGCATGAGTACTTGAGCAGGAGCTGTCCATTCCCTGTTCATGTAGTCACATGCATGTGCGTTGCCTGCGAGCCAAGACGTAGAGAGCTACTGTAGCATTGTACCAAAAGTGAATTTGGACCTTGCATCTTTGATTTCGTCGCCATTTTCAGAAGATATTTGTAAGGCATGGCACTGCTGAAATGGACCCCTCTCACACATGGCCCCTGTCGAGGAATCGAGTGTGTCGCTGAGCTAGCCTCAGCTCATCATGTTGGAATTTGGATGGATTAGCTATATAAGCTGACACCTCTCTCTACACTTCACTTCATGCAGTCCACAGTCCCGGATCAAAATCAGTGTACTACTGCGAATCAATATTTTAAATCTCCGGCTATGATATTTAACATATGGCCTCAAAAACTAAAATTTAACCGATGACCTCTAAAACTATACTAATAGGAGAGCTAAATGTTGCTATAACCAACTATAGTCGCTAAATTGTACATGAATGAACACAAATCGCTTGACCTGACTCAGCTATAGCCAGAGATCTGAAACCTTGCTATGAACTACTCCTTGTTGAAAAAATGTAGAAACATTTTGCGCAGAGATGCATGGGTTCCCCTGCGCGCGTAGTCGCCAAAAAAATGTGTTGACGACGCCAGATTAAATCTTGCATCATACATCAACAAGGGCTACCAAGTCCGATGTCGCACATAACCTAAGCACGCAACGAGCAACTTCGAAATTATCAAGTACCAACCAGTTGGTTGGTAGAACTGATTTGAAGCTCGTTCTTCATCCATAGAACTCGAGAACACCTCTCGGAAAACATCCGTCAGGATGATGCACATTGAGGTTGTCTTAGGGCCAGCAAGGTTATCTAGAATGCCACACCGAATCGAGGTTGTCTTAGGGTCGGCAATGCCACCTAGAACACCACCGAGTCTCATTGAGAGACAGCTCCAAACTGCACGGGTTGGAAAAGTTAAGGTAAAAAAGGTAATAGATGTATTTTTGTTCGATTGGATGTTGAATCTCTCAATCGACCGTTATCATCTAATATATAGAGATGGGATGGTCTTATATCCCACTAGTAAAAGCGTCCAAGACATTTTTTGTAAGTTTCTCACATCAAAACGCGACACAAAACTATTTTGGACTCCTAAGTCTTAACCAGTTCGGAGTCCAGAAAAACCAGCCTAGCAAATAAAAGGAGATCTTAATAAGACTCTTATAAATCTTAAAGTTGGGTCGGGTTTGGCAGATTGAGTGCAAAACTCCTTTTCTTCGTACGGGCTCCAGATGCGATGATTCAAATGTCGTTTTGATTATCTCGACGCTCAGAACCAAGTGATGGAGTCCATTACACGTGTTGGCCACTTTTTGCTGTCAACACTGTTTATAGCTTGCTTCGAACTGCTGCTTGTTGCAAAAGTGGAGCTGAATTTTGCGTAGAGATGGACGGTTCCGCGCGCGTCTCTGAACAGGAGTCACACTGTCCGTGCAAGCATGAGGCGTTCCTCCACATCCCTCTCGTGTTCACATCGCCAATCGCAAGAGACGAAACGTCATCCAATCAGCTGCTGCCTGTGGACTGTTCCTCTTCTTGTTCTTACTCGCCTCGTGTTTCTTGCTTGAGTTTCTGTCCTCTCGAGTATCTCGCCTCCCTTACTTCAGATTTTTTTAATTTGTTCTTCTGTATTTGCTAGATAATAAATGAATGCACTGTGTATACGCACGTCATTTCATGTGGAAATTCGTAAAAGTAAATATCCTCCACCTGATGATAAATACTTACTTGATATTTTCTGTCATACTACTGTACTTGATAGTACGATACTCTCTTTGGTCATACATGATACGTGATGTCTTTTACTCACTCCGTTTTTCGAAAAAAATTTGCATATCTCACATTTGGACGAGTCAATTTTTTTTAAATTTTTACTAGATATATAACTTTGTATTTATTAAAAAGATATTAAATTATAAGTCAGATGATACTTATTATACATCACAAAGATTACTATTTTTTTTTTGTATATATTTTTTTTCTTGAACTTAGTTTGACTCCTTGAAATGAATGAGATGCACAATCTTTTTGGGGGCGGAGGGATCGGAGTATCAAACTTCTAAAACTTGAATGATCGAAAAATATTTGCATAGTTTTGTTTTGAGAAGTACTCTCAATAATCCTATGAGTATTTTTAGCTTTTATATTAAAAAAACCTTTGTATTTTTTGGTTGAAAATAAATGGTCAAAATCAACGAGACAACAGGCCATGAAAAAGTAAACCAAAAGTTCAAAGTAAGATACAAGCGAGACTAGAAACAAGACAATTGAGGAGGAGATGTTCATTGTTCGTTTGTCTTATAATCCGTAATTTTCAACTTGTTTTATCAGTCGGAACAATATTTTTCTCTCACAACACATCAGTCAAAACAGTGTTTTGGCTTGTTTTTTCGGCGAAGCGAATGGGCAAACCCACTAATGAATTCACTATACAAGTGTGCCCTGCCTGCGTATCCATCCACACACTTTTGCAATTGCACAAGTGTTTTTATTATCAACAGCCGGGAGACACCGATCCATCGAACACAGAGTATGTATAACAAGGAGGGCCTACACGTTACTACTCGGCCGGCGTCGGCGAGACGGCGACGTGGTCACCGATCATCCTATGTCACTGTTGCACTCCGGCGGCGGCTGCCGGCGACAAGCTGGGAGAAGACTGCCGCTTGACGAGCTTGGTGAACGATGTGCCCTCCACCACGAAGTCGTCGTACCGCCGGAACAGCTCGGCCAGCAGCATGCACGCCGTGTCCACCACCACCTCCTTGGCGGCGCACTGTTTGTTCCCGGGCGCCGGCTGCGCCGTCTCCGGCCCGTTGGACCAGAAGAGGTGCTGCAGCAGCTTGGCGCCGTCGTCGCCGAGGAATCGCTCCGGCACGAACTCCTCGGGGCGGTCGAACACCTCGGGGTCCCGCATCGCCAGCGGCTGGTACCCGCACAGCACCTCGCCCTTGGACACCTGGTACGCGGCGCCGCCGTGGGATTGCAGCACGAAGTCCCTGCGCGCGCGGCCGAACTGCAGCGGGACCGGCGGCTGCATCCGGAGCATCTCGTACACCGTGGACCGCACCAGCGGCATGGACTCCCGGACGGCGGCGAACCCGAACCCGGCGTCGGCGTCTTTGTCCATGGCGCGCCGCACCTCGTCCCGCAGGCGCGGGCGCAGCCCCGTGGTGTCGGCGGCGTCGCCGACCTTGGCGACGAGGAAGGGCAGGAAGACGGAGAAGCCGCCGAAGGCGTTGAAGCCGAGCACGAAGAGGATGTTGTTGATGGCGTCCTTCTTGCCGATGCCGTGCTGCGTCTCGGCGTAGGCGACGGCCTCGGCGCCGTGCTTCTCGACGAAGCGGTAGAGCAGGTAGTAGCCCGGCCAGATGAGGAAGGACGGCAGCGGGAAGGAGTGGATGAGCAGCTCCTCCAGCGGCTGGACGAGGCCGACCTTCTGGGTGGGCAGGATCTGCAGCGCCAGCCAGGTGTCGAGGATGGTGAAGCCGAAGTTGTCCACCAGCCAGTCCGCGGACGGGTCGGCGCCGACGAACGCCTTACAGAGGAACCGGAAGATGCATTGCTGCAGCGGGACGAGGTAGCTGGCGGAGGGCTTGTCGTCGCCGGTGGCCTTGCCGGCGAACTCGGCGTCCACGGTGTCGAGCATGGCGCCGACGCCGGCGCGGAAATCGACGGGCCAGCTGCGGGCGCTGCGGTGGAGGAGGTCCATGGCGAAGGTCTTGATGCGCGCGTGCTCGGCCTCCTCGGTGTCGAGGTAGACGCCGACGCGGGTGCCGCCGGTGAAGCCGGTGCCCGGGTTGTAGGGCCCGATGAGGATGTCGCGCTTGTCGACGAGGTCAGGGTCGAAGAGCGCGGTGAAGGCGGCGGCGTCGACGATGGCGACCACGCGCGGGTCGATGCTGACGAAGAAAGGGAAGGTGGGCGGGATGTTGGTGCGGAACACGGTGCTGCGGTGCGCCGCCGCGCGCTTCCGGAAGAACTCGTCCTGGCTCTGGAACCAGAAGTAGTCCAGGCGGTCCCGCAGCGGGCCCAGCACCGGCGGCCCGTAGCTGCCGGGTATCGGCCGCGGCGGAGGCGTCACTGAGGCGCTCGCCGTCGGCGACACGAAGGACGGCAGCATGGCTAGCTAGCTGCTAAGTCGTCGCTGCTGGCTTACTGGCTAGCTATATCTCCCGTGTGTGGTGTGTGGTGGTGGTGAGCTCAGCTCAGCTCAGCTCCATCGATCGATCGTCACACTCCGATCCGTTATGTACTAGCTAGCTCCCTAGAGAGGACAGAGGAGGCGAGAGCCAGCCAGCATGTGGAGCGTGTGGGACACCCAAGCCAAGCCCACAAGCTGCACAAGCACAAGCAACAAGGAACGGGCGCGTTGCCATTCTGCCGACGAGGACAGTGCCAGACTACTACGGATCATGTGGGCCCGAGCAACATGCCAGGGAGCGATGTGATTGGATCACACGTTACACATTTGCTTTCGGTTTGAAAGGTTAATTTGTTCGGTTTCTCTTTCGTATTATTAAGACTTGAAACAATTTAGCAACTATACTAGCACGTACTCCTATTTAAATTCCTACTACTATCTTAATACTAGTTTTAGTCCCCTCATGTTGCCACGGGAATTTAAGGTGTACTTGCAGGAAAAAAGCAGCATATATCTCTTTAAGTTGCATTTAGAGATTGAATTTGCTTGTAGAAAAGACTAAGTTGATTTTAGTATCGCAAATACGCGACCATCGCGCTCTAGCACGACGGCGCGGCCCCGCTCCCACGCTCTCCCTCTCTTCTTCTCCATCTCTGGCGGACTTAGACGGGCGTTTGGGGGTGGCCGCCGTGACACGACGGTGGTGGCGGGCGACACGGCGGCAAGGTGGGGCGGCGGGAGACGACGGTTGGGTGGGGCTGGCAGCGGAGCTTGTCGGTGACCTGCACGGCCCTGTGATTAGGGGAGGGCGGGGTCGGGGGCGGGAGCCACTGGCCGCCGGTGGTGGGGTCGGGGGCGAGGATGACGCTGATGGAGGAGTCGCAGCGGAGGTTAGGGGAGGGCAAGGTTGAGGGATGGGGGCAGGAGGTGGGCAGCGTGGCCGGCGGCGAGGCAACTCTTGGGTCGGGGCGGCAGGCTAGGAAGGCAGGGGTGGAGCAAGCAGAGCACGCGCAAGGAGGAAGATGGTCCTTTTATTATATGTGTAACACCCATGGAAAATATTTCTTACAGCAGATATATTATTGTGCCCCGGGTGAATTCAGAAAGCTAACTGTCTTAGTTACGCCTCTGCTTCAAGATATGTTTCCACTTTCTAGTCGCTTTTACATAATTTAGATGTTAGGCGCTGTATCATGCTAAGTTTTTTTTCTCGATCGTGTCCTTGTGACATGTTTTTCATTAAGATGAAGCAGAGTTTAATAAGTTACAACCAACCTAGGTAATCCATATATTACCAAACACATAAAAGGAGAGAAAGAGCAGAAAGAGGAAGAACCCACAACCCCCACAACCCTACTAGCCATAATCTGCGAGAAGATACATCAACGCAAAAGCTGCCTACGGAGTGGAACAGGCCACGGTGGCAAAGCATCCACCCAGAGAGGTCAAAGAACCAGCGACAACGGTGTCAAAGCATCCGCCAAGAGAGGACAGCAACAACGGCGGCCAAGCATCCGCAAGGTGAGAGGCCCGCACACACTCGGTAGCAGGAATCTACTAGAGAGGGGAGCAAGGACAACGATGGTGAAGCATCACCCTGAGACCAAACGATGAATGACGATGACTAGGCCAAACACTCTAGTAGGACAGACCTTTACGAAGGAATATGAAGCACACACAAAAACAACAAGGGGTAGATCCGGCGAGAGGAACAAGGGATGGACAACGATGCCTTCAAGAAGGGGAATGACATCCACGGATGCCATCATCGTAGTCCCTTACCGGCGAGCGAGCGGACGATAGAATGAAATTTTCGACGACGCCTCTAGGGAGGTTGGTGACGCAAGCTGCGACACCATTGCCGGCCCAGAGCAGAGGCCAGGCAGGGCTTTCACCCAATTCTAATCGACCCACCTTCGTGATGCTAACGATGACCACCACGGACGGCAGGTGAGTCTGGCAGCGCTGGTGGGCATGTTGTTCCTACTGCTACCTGGACAAGGAAGGTGTCGTTGTCCAGCTGGAAGCGCTGATGAAAGGTCCTTGTTTGGTTTTGGTAATTGAGTGACAACCTTAGGTGGACTAATATATGTTTGAGTGAGATACACAAGTGATTAGTCCAAAAGTACATCATGTGTGAGCAACCTATGCCATGTGATATAGACAAGGCCCGATCTTCCGAAGGTATGATAGCGTCGATTGGTGGAGACTCGACGTTCATGATCTAGGCTTCAAACCAAGACTAATTCGGACCCCCGCAATCGTTACACCACTGCTCCGTTGGTTATCAACCATGCGAAAGCGATTGACCTCGCCGAAAAGGCTTTCCTGCAAGCGAATCGAGAACACAAGCAAGAACGGGATGACGCAATCTGAAATTGCAAATAGATATGAGGCTTATGAAAACAAGAAGAAGTTCAAGTCTTTATTCGAAAGGACTAATCGCCACAGGTGAACAAGATCAAGAACTGGGACCCTGGTTCACAGCAAGCAGTCTTGGCGGCACAGTTGCAGCAAACCGACGTCTGTTTCACAAGGAAATCAAGAACAAAACAAAACCCAAACCCTAAGGAGAGCAACGGCTGCTAATTATAGAGTCTTGGGTGTCACCCTCCCTGGACGCGCCCCTAATGGGCCCAAACACGATACATGGTCCAACGGACCAAAAGACGGTGTCGCAGCACCCTGGCAGATTCTGGACGCTGACTTATTTCGATGATTCCCATTGATTCCGAAGGGCTTTTGATGTGAGACCACTTGCATTGGCTTCCTTATCTAATTAGCTTTCCATCCATACGTGGATCATCGAAAACAGAGCCCGTACGTGCCCGTGTGACCAGTTTTATGATAGACTGGTCCTGTAACCCGAGATGGGCTCGAACTTGATTTGGGCCTCCACCTTGGTGACTCGAACCGGATGAGCTTCGAGCCTCCTTCTCAGTTAGGACAACCTCACTGATCTCCTCGGCCTCTATCTCCAAGTATGGTCGTATGCATGGAGCTCATGTCCTTATCACCATGGAGGTGAAATGGCTTGGATTTGTTGCAAGGCCCACACATGTGATGAAGGAGCTCATTGCATATGAGACATGACATTGAGTTATGTGACTAAGGTAGAGAAGATTAAGACAAGACTTGGCTTGATGGACCGGTTGCAAGCGTGAAGGGCAAGTTGGAGGCTTTGGAGCGATGGATCGCGTGGCTAGTGAAGCTTAAGCAAGACTTGGCGCCGATAGACGAAGGCAATGGTGAAAAGCAAGTGAGGTCAAGATCGATAAACCAACAAGGTCATGTGATGATATGAAGTAGATCATATCATTTGTTGATCAAGGTTGGTGCATGTGTTGCATCAACATTGGAGGAGATAGAATGAAATGTGCAAGGCAAAGGTATAACCTATAGGGCATTTTATTTCACTCATCATAGGTGTGTAGAAGTTTATGACCAGATTTAGGATATATGGCCATACTATCAAGAGGGGCAAACTTGTTTGCATATCGGTCATCTAGTGCCACTCAAGTAATCTAACTTTGCATCACGACTAGGATTTAGTGGCGTGGCAAGTTGAGTAATCTAACTTTGCATCGCCGCTAGTAATCTAACTTTGCGTTGTTGCTAGGATCGAGTGGTATGGTGAATTGAGTGACTAATCCTTTGAAAAATATTTGTGAAAATGCTAACACACTTGCACATGATGTTGTATACTTGGTGGTGTTGGCACATTTGCAAAGGTGAAGAAAATTATGCTAAAGTGAATGGAGGAGAGCACACATGCATTGCAAAGAGAGAGAGGGAGCCTTGTGTGTGCTCGGCTTCTCTTTCATTGCATGCACTTTGAGATGGGTAAAAATAGGCAAGCATTGCATGCACTCTAAGCCAAAGAGAGGAAGTGTGTGGCCGCATGCTTGCTTTGTTGATCAAGTGAAAGGACGCCGCGTGAAGTGAAAGAAACAAGTGGTCGAGGTGACCGGACGTTGGGTTCGGGATGACCGGACACGTCCGGTCAAGTGACTTGAGGCAAAGGCTGCTGGCTGGCTACAACTGGACGCTGGCTCAGCTAGGTGAACGTACGCATGCCTAACACTATTCATGGGACGGCACAGGGGTGGCGTTGTGATCGGACGCAGGGGTGAGTCCGGTCACCAAGGACCGGACACGTCCGGTCGTAAAAAAGATGCTCCGGGAGCTCTCTGGACTCGACCGGACGCCGTGGCGTCGCGAGTCCGATCATGACTTGGAGGCACGTTCAATCAGGTGTGTGAGCGCGCCAACGTCAATTTTAAATGGTCGTGACATGTGGCAGCGTTTGAGTGACCGAACGCATGTGACCGGACATGTCCGGTCTCTGCGCATGTGCGTCCGGTCGTTGCGCAGAAAAAGTATAACAATTATTTTTGGCCTTTGGGCTATAAATAGAGGGGTGTCTCGGCCATGGCTGAGGTTGAGCACCTTTGGAATGTGTTGCCCTTTTTGTGCTTGGTTTGAGAGCCCTCTAGTTCACTTGGGCTTGCAAGAGTGCGAATCGATTGTAAATGAGTGATCCTAGTGCGATTGCATTGTGAGATTGCATTGAGTGGCACTAGGTGTTTGAGTTGCAAGCCAGTGGTGCTTGTTACTCTTGGAGGTTGCCACCTCCTAGACGGCTTGGTGGAGAGTTCTCCGTCATGAAGCACGCAAGAAGATTGTGCGGTGCTCTAGAAAAGGATTTGTGAGGGATACCTTGCTCACCCCGCGGGAGCCGCAAAGAGCAACACTAGTAGAACATGTCATTGAGTTACCCTCATTTTTGGGGTAGGTTCTTGCGGTGCCCAACGTGTGGGCTTGGTGGGTGATGCCAATTAGCCGCCGAATCACCAAGTGAGCGGTCGACACAACGGAGACTAGCGTGTTGCCAAGCACGTGAACCTCGGTATAAAAATCATCGTGTCATCCTTCTCTTCCCGTTGGTTTACAATCCCCTTACATAAGCTTGTAATTAC